TTTTTTTTTCTTTTTTTTCATATTCGTGGTCTGGTGTTGTGCCTTTGTTTCAGGTTAGTTGCTTAAAGGAAAATAATGATTTTAAGTTGTTTCGAGTCTTTAACAGCGATGTGAAGCCTGGTATAAATTTTTTAGGTTCGTCATTTTTGCCCAAACGTTCCGATAATACTTGTGGGCAATAAAAAGGATTTACGTAATGATCCACAGACTTTACGTGAGTTAGCAAAAATGAAGCAGGAACCCGTCCGTCCCGAACAGGGAAGAGCGATTGCTGAACAAATAGGGGCTTTTGCATATCTTGAATGCTCTGCGAAAGCAAAAGACGTTAGTTTTATTATTTTACTTTAATTTTCTATTGGATTTTTGTTTTTATTTGTGTAATTCTTTTTTAAGTTGTTTCGAGAGATTTCGTTAGTACTGCAGTATGTGATATTATATATTACTTTATTTTAGTGATTTGCGTTCTTAGTTTTTTTCTGTTGTGCGTATTTTCTAGCTTCTAATTTAATCTATTTTGTTTGGTTCATTTTTGGTTTGATAGTTGTAGGTATAATATGCAGATCCGCTTTTTTCTTTGGGCTTTTAATTATGTCATGCAGGACATTGATGGAGAGCCTTAAACACTTCATTTTCATTTCTTCTTTTTCTTCCATTGGACATTTGGATTGGTGATTTCAAAGTTTTAAGGCGCTATTTTTTTATAAGAAGGGAACAGTTTCTTAATTTCTGAAAAAATCTGTTAGAAAATTTTGGCTTTTTTTGCCTCTTTCTTATGTGATTTGAAGTATCCTAACAGATAGCTATATTTTAGAACATGGTTTGGTGTGGTTCTTTTTTTTTTGCAAATTATAGTTCAGTTAGAAAGCTTTTGGGCTTTTTTTTTGTAGTGAATTTTTTCAAAACTTTTTGATGAAGAAAGATTTCTTTTTCTTAATTATTCATGTCACAGTTATCTGCCGCGTTTTGAGGTCTTTTTTAATTCTTGGGGAAATGGACTTTCTTTTTTAAGTTTCTTTTGGTACTCGGAATGCTTTACTCATCAACCAAATTTAGTTTTGACGAGTAAGTTTTTTAGGATTAATGTTCTTTATAAATTTTTTTTAGTCTATGTACCTGTCATTTTTTTAAACTGATAAGGAATTTTCCTTTTAGTGGTTGTTATTTTTTGCATTTCCTTTTGTATCTGTTTAAGGCTATAGGTAAAAATTTTTCTCTCTGCTACTTATGTTCTGTTCACTTTAGATTTTTTTTCTTAATCTTATTTCGAGTTTGTTAAAATGGAGAATCAAATGTTTGTTTTTAGGGTATTCGTGAAGTCTTTGAGAAAGCAACACAGGCAGCTCTTCAGCAAAAGAAGAAAAAGAAGGGCAAATGTGATTTGTTGTAAATGGATTTATTTTATTTTATTTTATTTTATTTTATTTTTATTTTTTATTTTTTATTTTTTTTGTTTCTGCAATTTGCGATTCTTTTTGCTTTTGTTTTATTACTTTTTAATATGACCACATCGTGTTATACGAATCCCCCATGATCATTTTTGTTTCCACTCTAAATAGAGTTACTTCTCAGATTGGTTTTGTTTCACGAACCACTTTTTGCTTTTATTTTTTTTTTACTTTTTGTTTTCATTAATATTATTAATATTTCTTTGTGGTAATGCTTTGTGTTTCATCGCTATTGTAATCTGTTTGTCTGTGTAAGAAGTGTTCAAAGTTTATCCTAAAGTCTGCATGTTTTAAACCTTGTTGAATTGACACATTCTCCTTTCGTGAATGCACTTCTATGTTAATTTATCATATTGAATGAAATTGAAGGCATTGATTTTCCGTTGATAGAAAATAATTGCTTTTCTTTATGAAGTTGTAGTTAAAGCAATCGTTCTTCTCATGAGCGGTAATTGTTTTTCCGTTATTTCTTT